TACATTGAAGCCTAATTATGTATTCTTCAAGAATTTTCCAACGGCCAATCAGCTCCTAGATGTTGGCTGTTGCTTCCTAGTCGGTTTTTCTTAAAAACGATACTCGATGCGTAGGATGATCCTGACACTCATAAATTACTAATCACAAACTCATAGTTCACGAGACGACGCACCTTCCCGCGGCTTGGGTGAAAATACCATAGTTTGGGTGGTAATGACATCGCCGTATCCTAGTCAGATAGTTGCCTTTTCTAGTTCGGGGTGGCAATAACGCCGTCATGTCAAGGAAAGATCAGAGTCGCCTGTGCCAGTTCAAGGAAGTAAAGATCGACATTCGAGATCGTACCACACATCATTATTGTCACGCTAAAAGGGAAAACCGCTCTAGGATTCCGAAAGCCCCATGTTCAATAAAAATTTTAGTTGTTCGCGTAAACAACCGCTTACGGTAACTAAGAATGGCACTCGCTTCAGTTGTGAGTTTCAAAAGGTATATATAAGCTATATAAGCTAAAAGGGCTATATAAGCTTCTTTTCAGTGGCATAGAACTATACGTTTTTATTGCTAAAGCTGAACCATCGGTTGCCTTTGTAACCGTTAGGTCTATTAAGGACTCCGATCGCGGCTTTCACAGTATTTGACTTTCAGGGGTATCAAGGAAGAGCATGTGAAAGTTGTCAATATTTCCCTATTAGACTGAATAGAGCAGGCGGACAAGAGGATATTATCGTTTGCACTATTCCAGACAGATCTGAAAGCTTCAAAGTGGCGGACGTCAATTTTATTTCTACCAGTGATACCCGGCCATTTCATCCTCCACCTTCGCCTACGCATCTGACGGAAGTTCATTGTTCGAGATGAATCAACTGTTGCTACCTTCAATCTGGTTTCTAAACGAATATAGCGAACGTATTAGAATACAACTATCTAAATAAACGAACGTTTATTGCACGGACAGAACCCATCCAATTATCCAACTTTATTATCGGTCATTCTTTCTGAGTCGTGTGGATAACAAACACACGAGGTTTATTCAATGGTCTTCGTCATTCGCCAATTAGGAAAGCTCCACGGGCAGAATTCCAAGATGCGGTAATGCCAAAGGTTCGATGTATCCGTCAGCACTTGGCTTAACCCTTGGTGCTTACCATGTGGTCATGAAAAGAGTAATTTGGACAGACGCGCCAGTGGTATTTTTATTTCATACCCCAACCATGGAAATGAAGTGGCAACCCAGAGAGAAATTAAAATTGCGTAGTTCAGAAACTTGTCGAGGTTCGCCATTATAGAAACCCCTTACGGTGTCCCAGTTCTGTAATTCATATATTTGAATGTATTCTTTCGGCAATATTCAGCATTAACGAACATATATGAAGGCATGTGCGTACACAGAGTTGAAGACAGAAAATTCACAATATTGCTCATTTCACTTTTCATCACGACAAACCGATCTCTTTGTCCCTCTCTCATTACAATGCTCATCTAGACGATCAGTGCGTTTTTACGTTCTGTCGGCAGTCATCGAAAGTTACCAAAGATACTTCAGCTCTAAACCTATCCTAATTTTATTTTATTACGTGTGGAACGCCCTGGAACGCTTCTCTCAAAAGTATTAACTAACTAGATTTCAGGCAGCTCCTCATTCTAGATCTATGCTGCTGCAAACCGAGCTACATTTGAGTTCATCACAGGAGGAAGCGATCATGAGGTCATTTGCAGAGGAAAATCAGTCATACTACTCCATCTGGTGCTTTCCGTGCCGATAGCATCTGCTGACCCAGTACATTATGATTGTACTTGTCGAGATTATGGCATTTAGCCTTTTTGATAAGCAGAACGTGTTATCAACTGTAATCGAAGCATTTCAACACTTTTGCCATAGGGCACCAGCTACTCCGTCATACCAAGAACTCCTGTCCGAGCATAGATTTGCCTCTACCTCGTTCATTAACGTTGCTATTGAAGGTCGTGACTCTGTTTTTACATGAGAAGCTCACGAGATGAAGTAAACGGCTTATGCTTAAGCAGTTTTGCTCATGAAGCCAATCTTATTTTCTCAATCTCCATATCTACCGAAAACATGTATGCGCGGAAAAACAGACGCTCCTTACGTCACGTGCAAGCCAATGGTATTTTACGCCGTTCAACTACACTCGTGAAACTTAGAACAACTGTTTCCAAGCCGCACAACAACATTAAATGATCAAACAACGCAAAGAACGACTTTTGTGCAAAAGACTGCTACTTTTCAGCCCATTCATTGCACAGGTTAGCAAAAACGCGGGAAGCGAGGCAACCGTATTGCCTAACTCCGACCATATGGCATCCTCGCTGGAAATTACGTAGATGGGATACTTAAACTGATCAACCTCCTATACCGTTTCACCTCAATGCCTGATTTGTAAATCAGCCTTGCTGGATGGGCTTTTAATAACTTCTGACTAAGTGCGATAAGGAAGAGACCGGTTTTCGCAGTCAAATCGCATACAGAAACAGTCGGGTGACAGAGTCCGCTTTCAATATCACTCAACAGAACAATGTCGCCTGCGTACTCAAGGTTAGCGAGATATCTGGTCTTCTGTCTAGAATGAAACGTTCGTCCTTGCCAGGGTCAGTACTGTTTCGAGGAAGAAAATAGAGAATAATGTTGAATAGCAAAGGGAAAAGTGACCTTCTTTGCGAACTCAATCATTAGTATGTAATCACTCCTTTTACTTCGACAACAGAAATCGTCCACGTACACATCTCTTCTTAAATGGAAACAACGTGATGAAAGTCCCCACAGAATTTCAAGATTTTCATTTCGTCGACCCATGAACTTAATAAATAGCAGTCTTAAAGTCGAGGAACCAGGGTAACTGGAATCGTTAGCACTGCTCAGAGGTTTTACGAAAAAATAAAATTTGGTCAGAACAGAAAATTTCCTTCCAGAAGCCTGATTGATTTGGGCGAAGTCCTCTCTCAACTCTCTGCTTCAGTCCCAACAAAACAAATCCCTTCAGGACAAATTTCCGCGTGATACCCTGACAGCTGCAGCTGTCGGTTGCTCATCTCTATTTAAGCATAAGGAAAATTACTTCACTTTACAAATTCTCCGTCGAAGCATTTTGAGGTCCACAGTTGATGAATAACAGCATGAAGCTTATCTATCAGTCCCGTTCCTTCCTGTTCAATTAACGTAGAGGGAATTCAATCCAGCACACAAATACTCCTCACAGTGAGTTGTAGCACGAATTTTTTGGTTACTAGTTCCTAGGTGAGTCTGCACTGACCTCTAATGCTGGCAAAAAGATGGTTGAGAGGGAAAAATTTGGAGGGCGGCTAGGAATGCGCCGTCAATCTTTCGAGGTGTTCGCTCCTGATCTCCCAATTTGACACCATTTAGGTCCTAGATAAGAACGAATTAAGTCGTCTGCATGCTGAATACTCACCAATAATCACCCCTTTTGGCTGTCTTGTCGACGTTCTTGATGTCTCCCTTCGGTGAAAGTTGCGCCGCGATCCGAAAGCACAGCGGTCATCGAAACTACCTGACTGGTTGGGAAAAGTTCGTTATCACGTCTGAAGCTCTAGCTTATTATATGGAGATGGCAATGGGCTTCATTCGAGAGTGTTGCAAGTACTACTCCGTAGTCTCGTTTCCCTGCACTTTAATGGCTGTGGTGCCTTCCGTAAGGCAGGGCAGGCAGCTTACCTTCTCTTGGTCTCATCTAGGTTTGTGAAGTCTTTCGAATGGTCCTCATTAAATTGGAAGGAGAAAAAAAGTCTAGAGGCAGAGATCATAATCTGATTGTAATTGTTGTAATTTGTAATCCTAATTATTGTACCACTGCACTTTAAGAATGTTTGCCAGCAGCCTGGCCGAACGTGGTAACATTATTCGTCGCAATTTACACTTCGAGGCTATGCAAGACAGCACGAACAGGGCACGATGACGAGATCTTCGTTTCCGTTCTTACCAACGATTCTTTCAAAGCTGATAAATGCTACTTCGCAAAAGCGGGAATCCTTCGCATAGCACTGTGACCCCACCCCTTTTTTCTAGACAGTTAAGGGGTCATTTAGCAGGCTATAGCGTTTTAGTACATGCAGTGAGGCAATGCATTTCAAACTATTTTAATGACTCCGGCAGTAGCCTGTGCATCATCAGTGACGTTTGGGAAGCCACTGTCCATGATATTCTTTTGCAGCTACATCAACAATATGACTTTGTCCAGCGGGAGAATGCCAATAAATATAATTCCATGAAAAACTTTCCCAGACACGCAAGACTTTCAAAACTGGCTAACATAAATCCATATCATCGATTTACAACAGTTTCGGCGTAAGATTGAATTTTGATTTCTGAAAATTTAGGTTAAAATAAAGCTGAAAAACGTGACCAAAACAGGATGAGAACTTCAATAGTTAGACGTATAATTGAACATTAATCCTTTTCAAAAACGAAAACTACAGAATAACAAAGGCAGCGCCGCAAACGACATGCCACGGAATAAATTTAGGCCTATTGATTAAACAGGCACCGTCAGTAAGATATGCATTATCCATAAAATAAATATCACCTGTTTCAAACCGAACTGATTCCTCAAAAGTCCGATCTTATAGACGTGTGCGGCAGATGTAACAGCATAGACGTCTAACTGTTTGGTAGTTCGCAATATATTTCAACAAGTACTTATTGAATAAGCGTCGCTGTAAAACGAAAGATACAGCAAAAGTGCGGTTTTGGCACGCTGGTACTGTGATCAGTACTGACTGAGGAATCTCCATCGACAAACAACCAACGATATAGGCTTTTAGAACGCGCAAAGGCACAAAGTGAACTGAATTTCACAAAAATGCTGAGAACGAGACAAAATCAACAGAGCGTGTTTCGTGCGACACCGTTGAAATGAAAAAAAGAACCATAAGACGATGCGAACGAACGCACAAACGCTGCCCTATTCAGGCAGGCAAACTGTACAACCGAAAATTGGTCGCCGGTCAGCGGCGACTACCGTCATTTTTTTTGTTTACCACCGGAAGTGTTTCTCGAAGCAGCGTCGCCACTCGACGTGTCTTCCTTTGCTTTCGATTTCTTTTTCTTCTTTTCTTTGACAGTGCCTGGAAATTTGGCCGATATTGAATTAAACATGTCATCTTTCAACAACTTAGATGGCAACTGTTGTTTGACGGTCTGATCGGCGAGACGACCGCCGTGCACCGATGAGCCTTGAAGATACGGAGGAACCAAGAACCGCCTGTAGACATCGGCAGAGCTGACCGACGACTTGAGGGAAGACCGGCACGCCGTAGGCTGTGGCAAACGTGCTTCGGAAACTGCGGGAGGACATGTCGAGTGAACTGGAGAGGAATATTCACAACCTGTGTCAGTCACGGTTGTGACGGCTGCAAGACTCTTTCCAAGCATGGAACAATGAGCCAACACGGGAATTTGCACGCCAGCTATACGATGATTCTCCCATGCAGAACGAAGGCAGTCCCATTTACTTTGCAGTTCCGCATCTTCACGTTCCAACATTTCCTACGAAATCGTGACATGAGCAAAGATAACATTCACAGACCTATCAAATTCATCTATAAGAAGTTAGACTTAGGCATGAACTCGTCTGAAAGGGGCAAATGGAGAGGCAAAATAAGAGCAGCAAATTTGTTCCGTAACCTTCTGTCAACTTGATTCGTAAAGGCAAAACTCCTTCTGACCATTTTATGTAAAGAAAAAAGTAACGGGCAATTATTATGAAACGGTAACACATGTCAATAAGGAACTGTTACAGGTTGCCGTACCGCGCCATTACCAATGACGTACAAATTTTTATGTATGCAGGTTCATCCAGCAGAGACCTGAGTAAACAGAGTTGTTATTGCACCTTTATTCAAAAGGGACGGGTAACCGACTGCCAGCATGATCATCGTATCATACTACTATCAACCCAGGAGAAATAATCCGTTTCGATCGTTTTGGAGAGGTTGAAGGAGGCAGTTGATGGAAGACGTTGGGAAAATCAGATAGGCTTCTCCTACGGATGATGTACTCCGGCTGTGTCAAAGAGTGGAAAGCGTAGTGTTTCAAAGAATACAACAATTGTCCTGTAAGAAACGAGCGGACTCTATATGTATGCACCATACCAAGACGTACCATTGTCTTATCAGAAGGAACACCTCAAACGATTGACTAACTATTCCACAAGCTCAAAAACAGCTGCTCCCTGAATTCGTAACCTGTAGACCTCAATTTTCAGACTACACTAAATGTCAGTACAATCGCAGATAACACAAATCTAAGAAACTTTGCTAAAGGCTCAGAAGTGCTGAAACCTTGTGGATCCAATTCTTCAGAACTACTCAAGTACGCAAGAACAGAAATGACAGAAAAGCTCAACGCTCTCTTTCATTAAATGTTGACTTTAAAACGTTGACTTGGAGAACGGAAAAGTGGAGCAACTGCTTTATTTATTAAAAAACTGAACGTTCAAAACATCGTTGCATAATTATCATCATCTTTCATGACCACTATTCCTTTCCGATCGCAGAAGCAGACGCGCCAGACAGTGCTTCCAACGTTCCCGATCCTGTGCCAGAGTCTGAGCTTCGGCAAAAGACAA